TTAGTCAATATTATTTTTTATTAACCAAAATGTATATTTCATTAATAAATTCAAATCAATCAGCTTAATAGTTAGATAAATTCAATTCAATCAGTTTAATATCAGTTAGATAAATTTAATTCAATTCATTTAGTATTAGTTGTATAAATTTAATTTAATCAGTTTAATATCAATTTGAATCAATCAAAGATCCTCTTATTTGAACTTAATATATTTCTCTATTACTATTTTTTAATAGAAATTGAATTTTCTGATTGAACAAAATAAAAAATCAGAGACTAATTGTATATATAATATACAATTGTTCACTGATTTGATATCATTTAACCAGTAATAAAAATCAATACTTTTTTTATATTCTTAAGTAAATTTGCCTATTTTTACAATTTAAGAGATATACTAAAAGTGACAAAAATATTGCATGCTTGAAAATAAGATATTGAGTAAAATTTTTCATTTGTAAGTAAGTCATATTTTATTAGAAACATTTTAATCATCTATTGCATTAATGAAATATTTTTATTAATTGTTTAATTCAAATTTTAAAAATTGCTATTTTTTAACATTACATATTATATTTCATTAAAAGGTTAAAATGGTCATTATTATAGTAAAAAAAAATTGGGTTTAGTAATTTGAAAATCATAAATTATATAAGATATTATTGACTAATCTTATATGATTACTTGCAACTTATTAATTAGTAAAATATATAAAAACTAATAAGCTGATCATTTAGCAAGAATATATAAAGTGTGAAAAATTGAAAAGTAGAGATTTTCAAAATTAGATTTACACTATGTATTACTCTAAACTAAATAATGAATAAAATGTTTCATTAAGTAATAGTTAACTAATATATTATTAAAAATATAGTCAGTTATTTATTAAAATTTATAAAATTATCTAATTTTTGACTATGTAATACTTTTATTTTCCATTAGTAAATCTATTTAAATTCATTAAATTTTATTAAAATTTACAAAGTTATTACTAAATTTTGAAACTTTTAAGATTTATTAAAACTTATCAGTCAAAACCCATAAAATTATTAAATAATTTTTAAAAATTTTAATTTTTGTCAAAATGAATATAGGATTGTTTTCCAATTATAATGTAATATAATATATAATATATTATGTAAAATTACTTGATTTTAGAGTTATTAAAATTATTCTAAAATTAATTATTATTAATTATCCTAAGTATTTTACAAGAAATATTTATTTATCACTTTATTATATTTTATATAGTATTCATATTTTATATATGATTATAATTACTTTTAAAATAATATACTAATTATTATTAAAAATAAAAAAATTTATAACTTTATATTAAATAATAAATTTAATAATTACATCTATATTTAAAATTTAATTAATTTAATTTTTATATAAATTAATACTATTATTTATTTTTTAAATAATTAAATTTTTATTATATAATACTTGTTTAGAATGAAGCGTAAGATATTATTCTTTTAGGAAATAATATGAAAATTAATATATTACATGAGAAATTCTGTTTGTTACAACACCTCTAAAATTGATCAAAATTAAAATAAAATATATAATACAATTAATTAACATTTATTAACATTTATTAAGAATTGGAGTGGTCAAAAATTATTTAATCAGCTGATTAAATAGTATATACCTTAATTAATAAATATTTTGTTATTTCATTTACCAATTATAAATTCTTAAAATATATATATAAAGTTCGTTTCAGATTCATAACAGTTTCCTAGTTATTAATACATTTTAATAATTTCAGTATTTTAATTATTTTAATTTAAAATTACATTTAATTCTTTTGATATCAAACACCCCATTATTATGATAACAAAAGGTTCGCTTATTTCAGAAAAATTAATCAGCCCACCAAACCGAAGTGTGGAGTATGATATTGATTTCGGACATGAGTTTCGTATAAAACTATATTCTCCCAATTTAAAGTATTTAAGGATATTTTTGTGACGAAAATTAAAATAAATCGTTGTATGTTATACAAGTTTTATAGTTCAGTTAGAATGTGGAACGTTTTATAAAAGCAATTACTAACCATATCCTGTTAATTTTATTCTAAGATCGAAATACTTAACATGAGGAGTTATGAACGTTCTAGTAAAAAGTATTCCAAACCTGTGTTTCTATCGAAATCGTAGTTTTAACTCGAACACGAGAGAGTCTTATCCGAATACCTGGTAGTATTATAATTTGGATTACTAATTTATTTTAAACAAATAAAATTGATGTAATATCATTTTGATGTAATAATTCATACGGATTAAAATTTCACTTGGACTTTTCTGTCTCTTTATATTCATGCAAAAATTCTTTATATTAAAGCAATTGTATTTAAAGGTTGCAAAATTTTATAAAAACACTTTTCTAACCGTAATTTAACCAAAATGTAAAGAAATTGACGGAAAGTGGTAATTTATATGAATAATAACGATCAAATTTTGCATAAAATTAAAGCGAAAAACAAGTATTAACCTTTTAATTACTTTAAAGTTATGTTCATGAAAAATGAGAAATTTAATTTTAAGAAAGCTAGATGGTCTTTTAAATAACTTTACATTATAAATTTTATTGATAATTCAAAATTTAACATATTGAAATATTCTTAATAGTAAATTCAATGAAACTGAATTCGAAACCGACCAGGATTCCTTAATGAAACTACAGGATAAAGTTTTGATGGTAGATTATTCCATTCTGACGCTGTTCGATATTTTACACCATTAACTGTAAATGAACAAGTCCTTTTATTCATATCTAAATGAACAGTAACTTTGCTATTATCTCTCGAAAATGGAGGACAATAACCTACTATATTTCCGCGAGAATGATAAAGTGAACCAGATGAACTTAATACCCATCCAGTAGGTTGATCACCTACAAACGATTCATAATCAACATTTTCTGATGCACACACTCCAACCCAAGTGCTTCCACAATATTTCTCAATAGTTACATCCCATTCAAAAGTACCTTGACCTTCGAATGCTACCTTAACTCTAACATTTTGGTGACTACGACAAGCATCTGATGCTCGTATAACTTGCCCATTATCTTCAATAATAAGATTAGATCCACATGCTGACTCATCCCAAACATAACCAGATTTGTTGGATGCTGGTAAAATTCCACGAACTTTATTAAAATCTGTATTATTAGAAATTGTCTTAAGTCGATAAGCTTTTAAAATCGTTTCAACTGGAATAATGTTTAATGACTCGATGATATTCGCTAATAATTCGCCTTTAATTAGACTGAAATCAATAAATTTTATCAAAGGTAGTAATTCTTTAGCAACTTTATGATGATCCGAGATAAGCTCATTATCAGTTTTCTTAAAGTTATCGATGAGTTCTAGGTTGGTAATCGGTTTACAAGACATTTTGTTACATCGTCAGAAATCTCCCTTGCAACTAAAATAGCACTATATCGAAACACCTCATATTCTGGGGTTACAAAGGGTTTGTCCTTTTCATAAGTGCAAGATAAAAGGACCCGAAGTGCTGTGCTAGATAATCGGCCAAATTCAATGGTATTTAACGGAATAGCTAATACTGTGTCAACTAACAGATTAGAAAGAATATTATCTTCTGTCAATGGCATCATTTCCACAATTTTAGATAACAATTCCGGTGAATAATTATCATTGCAATTCTTTTCTAAGGTATTTTTAACTGTTTTCATAATAAAATTTTGAAGGTCCGGCAGTTGAAAGTAATCTGCAGCAATAAAAGCTTCAACGATATTTTCTTTGGTTAAAGATTCTTCTTTAACAACTCCTGTATAAACGTATTCCATTATAACTTCCATTCCTGAAGAATTAATCTTTGAAAAAGAAATTCGTTTCTCATAACTTTCTCCTACTCTACTATAAAGTAATCTGTCAAATACTTCAGATCTTGCAGCTAAAATCGCTCTACAACCATATAATTTCTTTTTATCCTTGTACACAATCTCAATATTACTATATTTTGGGTTATTGATTAATAATCTTAAATCTTGTTCTAGTGAATTCCCTCTTGTCATCTTAGCGAAAAATTTTTCTTTTTTCCTTTTTTTGTTAAGGAGAGTTTGTTTAATGATGTATTGGGAAAGAAATTCAAGATACGGAAACACAAGTTATATAAATATGGAGATTTTTGAAGATCGTTGTCTATAAATAGTAATTTAAATCGGAATTTTTGAAATCCTTTGTATTACAATAATCTAGAAATGCGACATCCTTAGCATGCTTAACCTTCTAAGTAAATCCGTAAATCAGGTAAAATCATATAATATTATAATATATGGTTTTGAGAGTTCAGAAATAATTGCATCAAAAGTTCCTATAAATTGTATTCAAAAAATTAAATCGATTAATGACGATCAAATTCTGTAATATGCAAAGTAGTACTACGAAGACGTCACCTCAAACTAGAAATCGATCAAATACCGCAGATATAGCCAAAGAAAAAGGAAAAGCTGAACATACGCGAAAGTATTTTTTATGTAAGTTTTGGTATGTAAGAACCTTACCAATTGTAGAAGAGAAAAAAAAGATTTAAGTAAAAAATATAAAATTTATCTAAGAGCAATTTAACAATGGAACTAACAATTAAAAAAAGATGACGATTTTTGCTTCCATTTACTTCGTGAGAACTTTGTGGTGTCGCAAAAATGTTTGGCATATTTATTCCTGTCGTGTCTCGAGTTGTTCATTTGCTTAACGGAATCCGATTTTTTATAACATGACTCATCGAGTAAAAAGGACCAATTTGAATACATCTGATACTAGATAAAGTTTAAATTTGAGTACTTTTAATGTCGTTACCATACAAAACTAAATATGGACATTGTCAATGAATCCGGCTAAAGGTAAAAAAAAAAATTTTGTTATTTGAGTATAAATGAAGAGGGTGTAAAATTTAATCGGTTTACAAAAAAAACCGAATATTTTAAGGCCAATAGGAATTTAGATATCTTGATGTTACAATGGAGTTGCTATTAGAGATCACGAAATTGCAAGCCGTGAATCTAGCCATAGGTTTCTTAATGCAATCCGTAACTAAGCATCGAACGGTTAAGATTAGTCCGAAGATTTTCGGTTTGGGTCGATTTCGGATTGCATAAAAATTAATCCGAAAAATTTCGGTTCGGTTCAGTTCGGATATTTTTATAATTCTAATCCGAAACGAATAAAATCCGAACCGAACCGAAAATTTCGGATTAATCCGAAAATTTCGGTTGGCTCGTTAAATTGAACGATAAAAACATCGTTCAATTGGTACGATCGAACTTATCATTCCAATAGAACTATAAAAACATCGTTCGTTTGGAAAGGTCGAAATAAATAAGCTGATAGTAGTTCACTTAGAATCTAAGAATAATTTTAATAGATGAAAATACAACTTTGCATTCCAGTTGGCTAGTCCTTGTGTCGTGTCTACATGAAGAAGGAATTTTATATCATGATTTGGTAATCTTACATAATATCTATAATTTTTTTGTTTATTGTAGCTATTAATTAACATATAAATAATAGAATTCTAGCAATATTTTTTTTCGTCAAGACTAGTTGATTTTGGATTATCGAAAAGAATTGAAGCATTCATAAGTCTTTGGTTAATTCCTTTTATTGATCCAAAAGATTTAGTAGACGAAAAAGAAGTGTCATTACTTCGCAGCTAGATAATATAACTGAGTAGCTATGTTTTACAGCAACCAGTTGTCGAAATGTTCAAATAATAGTCGTCCAATTTTACTTTCTCCTTAACTATACTCAAATAGATAACTTAAAATATTTAACCATATTCATCATTACCTCTTTATTTAAAAACAACCAAATGTGGCAAATCAAATTTAGGCGAAATAAGAGAATTTTTTGAATTAATAAAGCTAGTTGTTAAGATGACGAATTTCAGTAATTTGTTGTAATAAAGTTTCTCAAAGCGTCAGATTTATTATTTTTTTTTTTTAACAATATTTTAAAGGGCAATTATGGCTTCGCACATTTTAAGAACTTAATAAGAAATTGAGCATGCTATATAATTTGGAAATGTTAATAGTGATGTATTATCTCAATGTATATTATATGATTCTATTATTTACATACACAATCCTTGGACAATTTTACCAAGTATCAAAGTGGGGCTAAAGTTCTTCTAGATATTTTGGTGTCTGTGTACTGAATTTTATATCTCTAAAGTTTGTACTGAGATTTGACAAAAAATCAAGTGATAAATAATAAAGGGCAATGGCGAACGTTGAAAACAATCTTATGTAAGGTACCGAAATTAAAAAATTTACACAAATTTATCAGGATGCACTTATTAAAATTGAAGTTGAAGGGTCATTAAACGTTGCCACAAAACAGTCTCAGAAAGGGGATCTTCACTTTTTCGCAACTAAACCACAAGAATTTGAATGAGAATGAGCAAATGGAGGTATATTATAAGATTCGTTTTTAGTTACTAGTTCCGCTATGGCACAACAACGAGCAAATACTAATGATTATCAGCACCCATGAATCATTTTATATTGGCAAGCAATTTTACGAAATACGCTTTAAGTTTATATTAAGTATTTTAAAGAAACTTTTCTTTTGAACATTAATTATTAGTAGAATTATGAACAAGTACTTTTTATTTTCGATTCAACATATTAACTTTTTTTTTAACAAATTTTTATAAAATTTAAATTTTACTTAATTTTTAGTTTTTTTTTTTTTTGCATAGCTTTGATTTAGTATATCACATAATTAATCATAAATTTAAGTTTGCATTTTTTATATATATAAAAAAGATTGAATCGCGTTAATCTAAAACAATAAAAAATGGAGAGAATATGTCTTTAGATATTCGATTCATTATAATCGTGAAAATTCTCCTTGTCGTTGTAATGTTCATATTTCTTAAAGAAAAAACATATTTATTAAGATTTAACCTTTTTTTTATAAATAAGGGTTAAAGTATTTATTAGTAAGAATTCATGCAAAACAAGTCTCCTTCGAATAATATAATTGAGATATCACTTTATTGGAATTTCCGGCACTTAAATTATTCCTTGTTTAAATTGCGTATTCTTTTTGAGTTGTAATATTTAAAGTTGATTATATATTAAATATTTTTCTTCACATTTAAATTAAAGCTTGAAACTTTAATAAAATTTTTTATTAATCATGCTAATGTTTTTAAATAAAGAACGAAATTTAGCAGTAGCTTTTTTTGATTCATTAATTTTTTTAAAATTAAAAAATTGGAGACAGCTGCAAGACTTTTTATTATAGATTTTAATATTTTTTTATTTTCATTTGCGGATTAGTAAATAATGTTTCTTTTCTTTTAAGGATCTAAATTTAAAGTACTGTCCGTAAGGCCATCATAAAAATTTTTTTTATATTTTTTTTTTTCTTTTAACAAAAAGATCTATACTTATATGATAATTTTATGGTTTATATATAATTAATTTTTTTATTTAATTAATTAATGGAAAAAGTCACTATCTGTCCTTCATTATTATTATTTTATTGTATTAAAAAAACCATATATTATTTATTGATAAAATAAATTAAAAAAAAAAAAAGTACTAGCCGGCGCAATTCTTTATGGATCTAAAGAAAGTTAAGAAAAGGAAAGATCAGTAAAAAAAAAAAAAAAAGATAGCAAAAAATACATTATCATTTCCAGTTCCTAATCTATCCTACTTGACTAAAAATTGAGAAAAGAAAAAAACAAAAAAACAAAAAAATTTAATAAAAGGATATGTGTACTATGTCGAATCTAATTAATTAAAAAATTTAGTAGCACAGTAAGTGCATTATTTTTTAGTGAAGCCTGAAGGTATTTAACATCCACACCACCTTACTGTCAAAATATATTTCGATCAATGCATTCCGAAGTGATTAATCCCATAAAATAAAATAAAAAAAATATAAGGATAATACTTCAAAAAGCAATTCAAGTTAAAAGAAGAACCTAAAGATTAAAAGGTTCAATCAAGCTAAAATCAGGAAATAAAACTAAAAATAAAAATAAAAATAAAATCACAAAACAATAAAAAAAAAATTAAAAACATTAATGAGGATGGACACAATTAAAATAAATAAAAAGAAAGATCAAATCAATTAAATAAAATAATAAAAATTAAAACAAATAAATTAAATAAATGAATGAAAAAAGAAAATCAAAGGAAATGAGAAAATGATTATTTATTTAATCATCAAAAATGATTCTTACTTATACTTTTAAAGTGATCGCATCCGAAAACCTAAAAGAAAAATACAAAAAAAAAATTATTAAAAATAGATACCTGGAAAAAAAAGTATAAAAAAGTATGCGATTGCTGCAGCATGAAGCAATTGAACCTAAAAAAATAAAAATCAAATAATTGATTTTTTTTAAATAATAATGATTTCAAAAAATTATTATAAAAAAATGATTAATTGATTGATTTTAATTTTTTGAATCGCTTCCTAAGCTACAGGCTATCTTATAAAATATTAAAAAAATATATTTTGGATTTGCACTTTTTTTAAATCATAAATTTTTTAAAAAATTACAAGTCATTTTTATTAAAAAAAATGTGTTAAATTCTTTTTATTATTTTTCATTATTTTTTTTTTTGTCTTTTTTTTTTGGCCTGAAGGTGATCTTCATTAGTAGTTTCCCCGTCATTTTATTAAGTACAATCCAAGAACTGAATTATCTCTAACACGCATAAAATGTTATTTACAATTTACAAATATCTGTAGTTTTAAAAACTTCTTGATAAAGCTAAAATTTATTCCTAACATGAACTAATTATAATTTTCCAAACAGGGCGTATGGGTAATATTAAGAGGTAAATGTTAATCTTTTATTTTTAATATTTAATTGATAAGAGTAAAGTAATCTTGATTAAGTAACTACTATTTTTTAAATTTTTGGTCATCAAATTATAAATTTTTATAAAAAACTTTTAGATTTTTACCCCGGGCTTGTCATTGTTTTCTAAGGTGGCTAATTAATAAATATCTCAAAAAAAGATTTCTAGTGAGTAATTAGAATTTATTCTTTTTCAATTATCGTGATATCAATTCAATTATACGGAATAAAACAACAAAATCAATTAAAATTAGATCAGCTGTAATTTTTGAAATTAGTTTTTAATCCTTGCGGTTAATTTTAAACAATAATCAAGAATATTCGTAGATACATTACCATTATAAAGTTGCCATATATTGAAATTTAGTTTTTTAGCAAATAATTGATGCTTTTTTATTGAATAAGCAATTCGTCTTCTAAGAATATATTTATAAGTTCGTTAAGTTTTTCTATCGAGTAGGTTATTCAAAGTATAATATTCGCCTAAAAATAAATTTTATTATCATAAAAAGTAAACAAATTTACTAATTTTCGTGGTTCTTAAAAAGTGGTTCTTTCATTTGTTTTAAAAAACAATTTGGAATAAATGACGAGAAAGAAATTGACAATGAAGTTTCTTCATAATTTTAAGTCAACATCATAAAATCACAAGATAATGCTTGCGTGATAAATAATCAAAATAATTGTCCAATTTAATGATGATCAGTCAGATCAGACTACGTGACTAAATCTCATTATTGAACAAAAATTTTGATTATTTATCAACATAAGCATAATAACTTATAATTATAGCCCCAACTTCAATATAATTTTTTATTTCTCCTCGAATTTTTAAAACCTATATTGCACATTTGTAATAGCAGTAAATAATTAGGGCTAATCCGGCTAAAAATTTAGACGAAAATAACCTGATGGTGGTGCCATGGTTGCCATGCGATATCATCCTGCACAGTTTTTTAATTGGCGCCCGAAGGGCACAAATAAATTTAGAAATATAGGTACAAAAATAAAATAAAATAAAATAACGATGATATAACTTGGGTGAAATTTAAGGAATTAATTATTTGGTTCCGGATGATCTTCCGGGATAAATACAAAAAATCATGGACATATTCTAGTAATTTTAAAAGGATTTTATTTTTCATCGCCAAGGCGATTTATCGCATGTCCCTCATATCACGTGGTTATTATCATCTTGTGATATAAATATGAATGTTATTTTATCACTATAACATTTAATCCAATAAATTGAATAAAATAGCAATGGGGATTTTTTATAAACGAAATTCAAACCTAACCTTAAACCCTAACCCTAACGCCTAAAAACAACATTACCATTGTCGACCAAGTTATCCTTGGTCATAACTTATGCAAATTGAAAAGTATTTGAAATAATATTCGTATGTAATAAAGCCAAAGCAAAAAAAGGTAAAGTGGCATAAGCCACAGATAAACTGAAATAGTAGTTGTGTGTAATAGTGTTGAATTACACAAATAAAAATAAAGTTGTTTGAGAAATGTTAAAATATTTTAAAATATGAGAGAAAACGCACTTGAGGAAATATAGTAAAAGGCAAAAGGTTGTTAGTGATTAAATGAGTAAAGTCATAAATGTAATCAAAATGTCATCGATCGTCATGATCATAAGAATATCACGTGCATAAAATAATAGTAATAGAAAATAGCGGTAACCTTATTTGGAAAGTAACGTTAATTATACGATGATCCAATATAACCAGTTAAATTAGAATTAGAAGTATTTATGAAATTCATACATAATGGGAAATATTTTTAATCGAGGGCCGAAAAATGAAAAAAACCCTTTGCAGGTTATTTGCTTTTCAAGCTTAAAAAACTTGTCAATTAAACAAATAATATATTTGCTTTACTATTTTATCGCAAAAATGGTTTTAAAGAACAATCTAGAAAAAACCCTAAGAGACTTGGAAACTAGAATTAAGGAATTAGAGCAAAGTAATGAATGGTTTCGTTCTCAAATTAACTATTTAGAAGATAGGATTAGAGAGCGAGATGAAGAGACCAAAGTCAAGCAAGAAGCTATTAGTAATTTAGAAGAAAAGATTAGAAAACAAGAAGTAGCAGCTAATGCAAATCAAGAAATTATTATTGAATTGAAAGAAAGGATCTGTGATCTTGAATCAATCATTTATGATGATTCAATTGATAGTTTAACTATTACAAATACTAATAAAGGTAACATATTAAACACTTTAGGTGGTGGATTGCAAAGATATCGAAAATTAACAAAACTCTGGTGTCATAACGCTAAAATTAATAGCTTAACAACTCTACCAAAATCCTTAACGGAACTCTATTGCTATAATACTGAAATAACCAGTTTACCAACTCTACCCAACTCCTTAACGATGCTCAATTGCTCTAATACTCCAATAACTATCCTACCAACCCTACCTAACTCTCTAACAAAACTCCTCCGATGTGATGATACTAAAATAACCAGCTTACCAACTCTACCTTACTTCTTAACGGTGCTCAATTGCTCTAATACTCCAATAACTATCCTACCAACTTTACCTAAATCCTTAACGGAACTCTATTGCTATAATACTATAATAATCAGCTTACCAACCCTACCCAACTCCTTAACGCTGCTTAATTGCTCTAATACTCCAATAACTATCCTACCAACACTACCTGACTCTTTAACGGAACTTTATTGCTCTGATACTCAAATAACTATCCTACCAACTCTACCTGACTTCTTAACGAAACTTTATTGTTATAATACTCCAATGACTATTCTACCAACTTTACCCAACTCTTTAACTCTACTCAGTTTTTATAACAGTAAAATTAATATCTTACCAACTTTACCCAATACCTTAAAAGAACTTTATTGCTCTAATACTCCAATAACTATCCTACCAAAACTACCTGACTCCTTGACGGAACTTAATTGCTCTGATACTCAAATTACTATCCTACCAACTCTACCCGACTCCTTATCGGAACTTTATTGTTCTGATACTCCAATAACTATCCTTCCACTTTTACCCAACTCATTAACGGTACTCAAGTGTTATAGCACTAAATTAAATAGCTTACCAACTTTACCCGACTCCTTAACGGAACTTTATTGTTCTGATACTCCAATAACTATCCTACCAAAACTACCTGACTCCTTGACGGAACTTTATTGCTTTGATACTTCAATAACTAACCTACCAACTTTACCTAATTCTTTAATGGTACTTCATTGCTATAATACTAAATTAACTATCCTACCAACTCTACCAAATTCCTTAACAGAACTTCATTGTTATAATACTCAAATGAATAACTTACCAAATTTACCATATTCCTTAACGAGTATCAATTTTAAGCCTTAAAAACTCCTGTACTTTTAACCTGTTACATAACTTTTCTTAAACTTTCAGAATGTTTGTTTAAGTTGGATTATTTGATCCTAAGTATCGACAAAATTGTAACCACTTATTGCTTTATGAACTTTATAATGTAAAAGTTTTTCAAGAAATCCTATCACCTACTTTTAGTTTAGATTTTAAATTTTTGGTCATCGAATTATGATTTTAGAAAGATAAAAAACGTTTTATAATTTTTACCATAGACTTGTCATTGTTTTCTAAGGAGGCTGATTAATAAATATCTCAAAAAAACTTTTCCATCGAGAATTTTCGCGATATCAATTCAATTATGCGGAATAGAACACCAACAGAATTAATTTAATTATATCTGCTGCTTGCAATTTTTGAAATTAGTTTCTTAAGCCAATCCTTGCGGTTAATTTAAATATCATTTAAAGGAACTTTATTTATCTTTCAGCATTGTTGGTTATACTTTCATCGATATTTACAAAAGAAAATTAAGGATAATAAAAATAAAAAAAGTAGTTTTTTAGCATATAATTGTTGCTTTTTAATTGAGTAAAGCAATTCGATTTCTATGAATATAAGTTCGTTGAGATTTTTATCCAGTAGGTTTTTCAAAGTATAATATTCTTCAAAAATAAAATTTTGTTATAAGTAAATAAATTTACCTTTTTTTCGTGGTTCTTAAAAAATGGTTCTTCCATTTTATTAAAAGAATTTAGTATAAACGAGAATGATAATGAACTTTTCTTTATAACTTTAAGTCAACATCATAAAATCACACGAAAATGTCGTCGTTATTGTGTTTGTGTTCAATTTAATGACGATCGGTCAGTAGCAAGCACTTTATAATTAACATTATTTGTTTATTATAACGATTATTGTCTTCTTTTTTCACATTTTATTTCACATTTAATTAATAAATTATATGTCAAAGTTACAAGATTGTTTCGCAATTTCTAATATTTATAATTGGAAGTTTAATTTAATAAAAATTATTATAAAATTATAAAATAAATACTTGCACATTTAATTCTACTAAAAAATCTGTGAAACGTTATATATCCTGAGAATTTAATACTTCGTCATTTAACTTTTACATTGTCAGCAAAGAATGATTTACAACTCTTCCTGTAATAATACAAATTTTAACATTTCTGATAGAATATCCCAACGTGTAAACATAATTTACAAAGCCTTCGAATAAGAACATGATTTAGTAATTTAATTTTGCAATATTAACATAACTTTTGGTCTTTTTAAATGGCGTTCCTTTGAAATAAATAGTTTGGAAATTTATGTATTTAGAAAAGCTGACTACAATAAAAAAGGGAAAAAGTCGAAGGTTTACTTTTTCCGTGTTCTTTAATTTATAAGATACTTTTATTAATACATTTTTCTATACTTTAACTATATTCTCGTGATAATTAGGAATAAGTAATAATTTACTTATTCCAAATTAGCCGGGTGATACATTCATTCATTATCTTTGCAATACAAAGTACTATGTGAATGTTATTGATATTTTGCTTTTAAAGGTGACCGAAGACAGCCATCACTCTTTTTTTTTGCTTTTTTTTTAGTTCTAGAAGAATAAAGTCTTTCTTTCTTTTATTTTTAAATAAAAAAATAAAAGCCAAAATAAAGTTGTAGCACGCGACGAACTAACAAATAAAAAAATAAATCAAAAATTTTAAATAGAAATTAGAATTAAAAAAATAAAGTCAATGTAAATAACAGGAAATAATATAATAAATAAATACCAAAATCGACCCTTTGTCAAATCCAAAAAAAAAAAAAAAGTAATGCAAATTAACCCACATATAATAATCAAATCATCGAGGGTGAAAAAAAAAAATTCCAGTCAACACAACACAAAATAAATTAACTAATACAGTCGGCTCTGTATAAAACGAACCTGTTTATATTATATTGAACCATGTATTACATACAGAACAGATTATTTTATAATTAATCAGACTGATATAACGAACGATCACGTGAACTTTTAATAAATTGAAGAACGGCTGGGATGTGACGCGATGTGACAAATTTGCGTTCGTCATAAATTGAAAGATTTTATTGATCTAAGTGATCACGTGTCTGTATTTTTATTGGTCAATTTTATTATACCGAACAAGCAAGCTTTTTAATAATTTGCCATAATATTTCGTTTAACAAATTTTATAAATTACCAGCTAAACTACAAATCCAAGAACCAATTATACATTTCCCCGAAATGGGTGGTGGATACTTCGTTAATAATAATTAATTATAAACCGGTGGCTTAGAATTTACCAAGTACTTTTATTTTATTTATTTATTTATTAATTTTTTTTTTTTTTTTGCTACTTCTCCAAGAATTTTTATCATTCCAAAATTAAAAAATCAATCAAATTGCAAGGTGCAATAATTCGAATGAGTGAGTTAATTGGATTGAAGAATCAGTCACAAACACTTTAGAAAATTTCAAATGATAGGTACGGGCGTTTTGGAAATGTCTTTCAAACAAATTAAAAAAGTTCAAAGTAATAATATAATAGTTTCACTGTTAGAAGAACTTTTTTATGAGGTAATTACTATAATAAATATCATTCGGCTTATTATAAAAATCACACATATGGGACCTTTGCAATAGAAAAGAGAAACGGCCAGAAAAAATCAATTTTACTTTCATATGTCAAATATGATTCTTAGGTCATTAACTCATTTTTTATATTTGTAAATAATATACCTTGAACTTCAACGGAATGGAAAGTGGATTTGGGATTACATCATCAAACCAAGTTATAAAATTTTATAATGACTTTATATTTTATTTGTAATATTATTTTTGTAAAAAAAAAAAAGTAAATTTATAAAGGTTAATAATAGAGTATAATAATGGTGGTGCGCTTAAAAACTATTTGAAGGATAATTTTGATAAACTTGCTTGGTGAGATAAATACAACTTGACATTCCAATTTACTTGTGCCGTATCGTGTATGCATGACGAAAGAATTGTACATCTTTAGCAATTAAATAATAATTTTTCTTCATTAAAATATATTAAATTGGCAGACTTTGGTTTGTCGAAAGTTTATATACTGATAAATATATTATTATCTAATTATGGCAATAAATTTGTTTGAACACGAATCAATTAAACTCTTAATTAAATATAAACAAAAATAAACATTGATAATGAAACAAGTCTTCAATTATAAGCTATTCACAACACATTGTTTCGATATTTATAAAACATGCATTGTAGATTTGTCTCAATTGATTGAAAATTTTTATCAAATGAAAATAGAAGAATTAAAAGATGTTATTAGTTTTACGATTACGGAACTTAATAAAATGACATATTAAGTCCCTCAGGAGGATTACAAAGATATTGAAATTATCAAATAAATAGTTTACCAAATTCACTCAATTCCTTAACGGAACTTAACCGTGACAATACTCCAATTACGTTTCGTGTTCTTACTAAATGTTCCCGATTTATTAACGAATCATTAAAATTCAACGCTTCAACATTCTGCCAAGTCTAATTTCTCCTGTACTATTTCGTCTTTTTATTTTTCAATTTGCTGACAACCCGGCCTGTCAAATTTTCGATATCAATTTTGTTTGTCCTGTACAGTATGAAATTAGTTTTAAAATTAAAATTCAGGTTCCATCTCTTCGTTTATATTAAATATATTCGTTATTGGGAAAATGTTACAAGTTTTTTTTGTGAAATATAATTGTAATTGCAATTGCGAATACATTGATGCCTAAAATGTATAAATACATTAAATTAATTATTAAAATTAAGTGAAATGTTTGAGAAGATAGAAAAGATTACTTCATAATATTCTATTCATCATTTATCCTGATCTTTCTGACAACAACAACGATATGGATCATAATCTGTTAGTTCATTTGATGACAAATCAAAAGATCTAATCCGAAACATGGTCTATAATGCATTAACTGCAGACGTGACATTACCCAAACTTCAATTTCTTCCATTTGTAAATCGTCCGACTTTTCAGAAAGAAAAGACAAGTCAAGTGACTTAAATACTTTGCTATCAAAATCGTTTGCTCTAGAAAATTATTTGATTGAAAGCTTGCTTGGTGAATAATCCCAAAATGTTGTTCCACTCATACGGATTTATTTTCAATTAAATACTTTTGCAAAGTAATCAATTAGTTCTTGAATACATAGTTCATTAGCAGCTATAAGGCTTAACAATATTTGAAACATCTTGCTTATTAAATGAAAGAATACCGCCATAAATATATCTAAATTGCAAAAAGAATAGATTTTAAATATTAAAATTATATCGATACTTTAAAATAATTTGAAAGATTTCTGGGCAATTTCAAATATTGTCATTACTTTTTTATTTCAAGCAAAGCTCGTCGCAAATACGGAGAACGGTAGCACAAAATATTCAAATATTTTAACATTAGGATCGATCTTCACCAACTTCCACATTAATATCATCCAATAATCCAATATAATTTTTACTCAAATTCGAAAGAAATAGTGTTGACATTTTGCAAAATTTAATTCGGAGGAAAGAATCAGGTAAGATGATCAGATATCAGAAATGATCTGTTGAGATCTGATTAATTTTATAATATTTCGAATGATTTGGTTAATTAATTTTTTGTGTTTGTTTTTTACAACACGAAGTAATTTTTTTTTTCGAGATTCTTTAAAGATTATCTTCAGAAGATTTTTACTTTTAATTTACTAATTTTCCTCTTTATTGAAGATTGAATCTTTCATTCTCTTAGATAGGTACTTTTTTAAGGAACGGATCTTTTCATTAAAAGTGAAGGAATAATAAGTAATGACCAGAATTAAGGTTGCCGGGCAAAACCCGGAGGTTTCGACAGGCATCGAAATCGAAACCCGTCGAAACGTTTTGCCAAATTTTTGATTAAAGGTAAAATTGCGAAAGTTTCGATGGGTAGCAAAATCTTCTGATATTAAAATACAATTTTATTATTTTTATTTTTAGAGATGAGCAAATCGCATATAGCAAAGGTCAATATATTTATAAAAAATTACCATATTGTAATTGAATTAAATTTATTTTTCTCAAGTCCAATTACATCATTATCTCCCAATTAGTATTTTCTTCATTTAATCTCATGACAGTACAGTATCCTTATCTTCTTCTTCATCCATTTTGAAAAATCATCATCTTCTTCATAAGGTAATTCTTCTAATTCTTCAACAAGTTCCTGTGCTTCCAAATTTACACCTGCTCGATAAATAATGTATTATTTTGGCAAACTTTGTTCTAATTTAAAATATTGTAACCGTCGAAACTTTTGAGACCCAATCGAAACTATCGAAACCCATCAAAACCCATCGAAACTGTCGAAATAATTTCTGAAAAGTTTCGACTTTTGTCAAAATGGTTTGTGGTTTTATCCCGCAACTATAAACCAGTATCAATCCAGATTAAACCAGATCAGATCAGATAAAAACAGTTACCTGATCCGACAAGACGTAAAAAAAATATCAGGTCGGTTAACCAGGTAACCTGAACTTAATGACCTGTAAAGTTTACTATATTTAAGATTAATTTTAGGTAATTCCTTCGAGACTAATCAAATTTTCACAACATTATACGATTTATCTATCAAGAAATTATTAAAGAGAAAAAAATTCACAGCCACAAAGAAATTAATATGAACGAAATGCACTGATATTTAAATTTGCAAGAGTTTTCGAAAAACCCTAGTTTGCATTTTTAGTTATTTTATCATGTAATTTGCCGTAAAACCTTTTCATGTGTGAGGAATACGAATCTTGGACCGTGATCGTTTTAAAAATTATTTAAACTTACCATTATTTGCAATAATCAACAAAAAATCTAAAAACTTCTTGAAATAAGTTTATAGGTTTCTATTCAAATTCAAAAAAGAAAGAATCAAGCAAATTCATCTTTATGTTATTTACATGTTTCATAAGTAAATATAACAATAAAAAGACCTTAATTAGCAAAAAAAAAAAGAGTTATTTTGACACTCAATATATTAAATGATGAATCATTTAGAATAATTATTAATTTTTTTATAAAAAAAATTTCGAACTTTAAAGCTTGATTTAAAATTAACGACTTTAAAAGCAAGAGAATTCAAAATAAGTAATACAAAGAAATTAATTGTTTTATACGGAACGAACGCTCTTTTTTTTTAAAAAAATAACTTTTCTATATATGATTAGTTCCAACTTTCGGATTCAAAGAACAAGATTAATAATAACTTCATTCCCGAATTTAATTGTTTGATTTATTTTAAATACATTATTTTAAAGCTTACAAGAGCATCCCATAAGCTAAACACTGTCATATTTAAGAAAACCAAGATGAACATACCGCGTATTTCCAATCACCAAAGTGTAGTAAATAAAAAACTCCCGGGCAAACAAGATTTTTTTTTAAATTCCCGTAACTTATCCGTGGCAGTTCTCGGACTGTGGTCCTTTATAAATTGGGCTTATGGTCCTAGAATCATAGCCAATATTATAAAAGTCCTAGATGAATCGATCAAAGAAAAAAGATATATATTTGTTCAACTAGAATGATACATCATCGTTCTTGAACATTTCGTCATCGTGCTATGATATACCGTTCTTCTGGAACGATTTTTCATCGTTCTAATTTAACGATACATCATCGTTTTTTTGGAACCTTACCTTTATAGTTGAACAATTTTAAATCGTTCAATCAGTAACATATATCATCGTTCTAATTAAAAGGTTTACTAATCGTTCTGATTGAACGATGTCTGAAATAGAGATTCCAATTTCAGATTCACTTTTTATTATCTGAATTCCAACTTCAGACAACTTATAAAAATCTATTTTAATCAAAACATTTTATATTAATTATGCGGCAATTATTTATTAAATTTTGTAGTTTTAAATTCCATTATTTTTTTTTTCTTTATTTTTTTAAAGGTTATTTTTTTTTTCTTTTCTTTTTATCGTTTTATTTCTTTTCTTTTCTTTTCTTTGTAGGATTTTGATAACATTCGGGCTGTTGCTTAATGAAGGTTTTTCTTTTTCTCTTTTTTTCGATTTTTTTTTTACTTTCTATTTGTAGTTTTTCGGCAAATAAATAAGTTCATTTTTTATTTTTTTTCTATTTAGTTTTATTTTATTTCTATTTTATTTTCATGCAGGTTTCGACTGTATCGGGTGCTGCGTCAGTTTTGTTTTCATCTATTTTTCAGGATATTTTTATCTTCAGACCGAAGTGATGATCAAACCTGAAAAAGCAAAAAATAATCATTCAATTAGAAGAAAATTTTAAAACATTCACATTTTTTTTCTTTTTTAATTCTTTTAAAGGGACTCCTACTTTTATAATTACCTGTATAAATTATTCTATTTTGAAGTTGGTAGACGAATTTTAAATAAAATTACTTAACTTTTTATAAATATTTTTATAGAGAAAAGAAATTGTTAAATTTTTTTATTATAATAGAGTAGTAAAAAAAAAAATAAAAAGAAACAGTTATTTTCATAAATATTTTATTATTAAAATAAATTGCTTATGTACAGTACATATAGATAATAGATCGTTACTATTACTTTAATTTTAATTTATAAATAAATACATAATTTGTATAAAATTCAGATTCTATCCAATTTCAGACATCCCAATTTCAGACAGCCCTCATGTCTGAAATTCAGATTCTGTCTGAAGTTTAATTTCAGTCATCTCAATTTTAGACAGCCCTTTTGTCTGAAATTTAGATTCTGTCGGAAGTTTAATTTCAGATATCCCAATTTCAGATGGTCTCGTATATAAAATTAGAATTTAACTAAATGCACAGAAATTGACCAATAAGATCATGACTGAAATTGGAATTAACAGATCTTTGAATCTCAATTTCAGATAACTTCAAACGAAAATCAATTTCAGTCACAACACTTATGATAGCAAGTACCAATTTATATAGAACTGCGATACTAGAACTGCAGTCTCGGGACCTGGTCATAGTATCCAGTTTTATAACCCAAGTCCTATGTGACTGGTCTTCTTTTATACTGGGAGTTTCGGAACCGGACTAGGACCGGACTGGAACTTAACATTCCTAGTTTTTTCAAAAATCGAAAATAATTGTTTAATGAGTGTGAAACCTAAGATATTTTGAAATTTTGAATGCGGCTATTGAGCTACTTTACAATTTTTAATTAAAAAAATCAAATGAATAGAACAATATTCTCAACGAACTTTCTAAATAAGCACAATGAAAGGTGATCCGGAACTGAATTAACCCGTCGATATTATATGAGAAAAGTCGATAATCATTGTGCGATGGGAATTTTGTTAAATTTTTTCCAATGAACACTTCATATCCAGACTTGTCACGTTAATTCTTTTGCTCTGGATACATCCTCAAGGTTTGTATCGCCAAACTTTTCCATTTCTTGTATCTCGTGATCCAATAAAAAATCAATAGTCCTCAATTTTAATTCCACGTTGTTTGAGTTGGAATTTTTCATTTAACATGTTCAACATGAATATATTTAATATATTTTTACGCGACTCATCGATAAAATGAGCAACTTCGTTGAATTTATAATATGCAAGTATAACTTCTAATAGCTTGTCCAACGTTCTAATTACTGAAATAATTAATTATTGAAAAAAAGAGAACGGTGTTAGTCAGACCAGATTCGATCAAAAGAAAATCTGACAGCATCAGAATAGTATTATTTTGTTAAGGCTCACTGAGAAATTGGACACATAGGAATACACATTCTCAAGAGTAACTTCCACCAAGAATTAGGACATGATGATGCTTTGCTTTTACTGTACACCCCTAGAACCACAAAGTTAATATCAGATAAGTGACCAATTAAATTATTTTATACCTTTGATATTGTCATGAAAATTGAAGATAAAATAAAAATAATAGAACGGTTACTGCGCTTCGTTTTATAGTTTTTTATCCCTATCAAAAAAAAAATTTATATTAAATTCAAATCCCTGTATAATATAATAATTTGAACACATTTCACATACAATTTCTATTAAGCATGGTCATAAACCTTCACCAAACATTAAAAAATTTCCTTTTTACGTAGTCTGGTTCGTAAACATTAAAATAGTTTCCATCGTTAGAATCATCGCTTCAAATCTTATCCGAATCCACATCAGATACAATATATAGATTTTATCACCTTAGCATATTCAATCAGCTAAATTTGTTTTAAATGCGAGTATAGTAATAGCACTATTGTTACGATTGAATGTAATTCCGGCCGAAATCTTCATAATTCCGCATGAAAATCGCTTTCGAAATTTACAGTTAGTCCTTTTGATGTCATTGCCAGGCTGGTACGGTGCCAGGAAGTCAGGGCGCCAGGGTGTCAAGATGCCAGGTTGCCAAGGTGCCAGTATGACAAAATGTTCAAGATGCCAGGCTGGCTTAATTATTTTTTTTTTTTTATATAAACCGAGCTGGAAATCCTCCCTTTACACCTTCGCGATAATTTCGATTTCGCCGTTTCAAATTTTTAATTTCGCATATGTAACATTGTTTATTATTTTTATTTTTAATTTCCGATTTATTAATATTTTATAATTAGATTTTTATGTAATTGTTTCGTAATTTGCGGAGTTTTAATTAATTAGAATTTAGTACTTGGCATTTATAGTATTTAAAATATTGGTCAAGCGAAAGTGTAGAGCGCCGACGTTGAGGCAACACTGATTAATTAAATAATATTAAATAAATATTCTGTCATTGTTACTTCATTTTTCTCAATAAAAACCTTCTGCTTACATTTAAAATTGTTTATAAATACATAAACGAAAGAACTGAATACAACACTATCTTTATTTCAACATTCATGGTTGTACATACATGTATATATGTAAGTCGTAATGCTTAAAAGAGAAAGCATTTATAAGAAATTATTTAATATGAATATAAAAAAGCAACCTGTAAGGTGATATTTTCATTTCTACAAATCAGTTTCCTTCCAGAAACTTGAACTCCAACCGGTGTCTGTAAAAGGTACTGGAAAGAACATTTCGGTCCTTTTACTGGGAGATGCTATGGTCCAACAAATTTTAATAAAGCGATCTTCACTCAGCTGACAGGAATTGAGAAGGTGCAAAAAATCTTTGCTAGAATTATCAAGAAGAACGTATTTACTGATATAGATGATTGTCAAAGATGAACAAGAATTCCGCGGCAATGTCTTGAGCTTTTCTTTCCAATAGGGTAATTTTCTTAAAAATAAGAATATACAGAGGGTGATCACGGGTTTCCGAACGATTTAAAAAATCGTTTACATTTATTTATTTATGTTAATAATTTTTTTA